GCGAAATCTCTCGAGCATGTCCAGGCAGCACGAAAAGCTGTTTTTTCCGAATCAAGTAGTACCTGGTAAAGTTCTTTCACGTCCGGCCGATGCTTCAGTGCTCTCTGCATCGCCTGGCTCGCCGGTCCCCGGGCCCCCAGGTTTGTCTTCTGCGTGGCCCAGTGGACTGGGCCCAACTCAGAAGTCTGGATCATTTCATCCGTAACCGCCTCAATCGCGAGGCCGTGGTGCTCGGCAAAGTTGGACCTGGCATCCTGCAGAGCTGCAGCTGTCAACTTGACATCATCCTTCGGCACGGGTGGCTCGGCAGCATGGGCTTCTGGGGCATCTTTAGCATTCGGCTCCGAGGTTGTGGAGGGGGTCTCAGGAGTCGAAGCGGGAGGGGGAGAAGTGACCTGCGTGGCCTGAAAGGCTTCCGGGGTCGCAGGAACAGGTTCTCCCCCGGCCAATCCCTCGGATGTGCATTGCTGAGTATCCGCAGAATCTACTGCAGACATGTTGTCTGCAGGATCAAAACCTCTGAAACTTTCCGAGCTACTTCTATAATCGGCAAAATGCCGAGCAGCTCAGCGGCTGCATAGGTTCGATCGAGCCATCACGAATCGCACGATTTCGCATGCACAGGTATACTCTGCTAATATAATATATAGCATAGAAGACATCGCAGGAATGTAAGCTTAGGGGTATAATAATAAGTTTCTAATTTTTAGATTCATAAAACCCACAACACGGATCGGATCTAGAAACCGCTGCGTATCTAGATCCACTAGGCAAAAGAATTTTAAGAGCTTCCTATTATTATTACTGCTATACTTTCTTGTATAAGATATAAATTAAGAAGCTTGGGTATATATAAGTTTCTAGTCTTTACATTCACAAAAACCCACATATCGATCGGATCTAGCATCGTTTGCGTATCTAGATCCACTTGGGGGCTATAAGTCTCTAGTCTTTAAATACCCAACCACCACACGGATCGGATCTAGAAAGCACTGCGTATCCAGAAATATAGGCTTTGGTTGCAGAAGCCTTGACAGGAAGTAAGTTTCTAGTCTTTAGATTGACAAAGCCTAGACCACGGTGGGATCTACAATCAGCTGTGTATCCACATCCATTCGGTGCCATAATTGCATGGGAGTACATTAGGTGCATATATATAAAAACTTCCGGAGCAGGAGCCTCGACTATTGCAAGTTTCTAGTCTTTAGATTAGCACGAGCCAGCACAGTAGGATCTAGAATTGGGTTGCGTATCCAGATCCCAGTATTATGTCGCTATGATTATCAGCATACATTAATTTCAGGCTTCCGGGAGGCTTCAAAACAGGACCTGGACACTTCATCGGGACCTCATCGGGGATCCAGTTTGACTCATCAAGATCTGTGGCTCTCTACAGACCATGACACAGGCTGCACCAGTAGCGGAGACTTCATCGGGGGACCTCATCGGGGATCCACTTTGACTCATCAACATCCCTGGCTCTCTATGACTCAAGTACATGGATGCGATCTCACGGAGACACTTCATCGGGGTCGTTTTTGGGCTGTGAAACCACCAATCTGCGGATACTGCGGTTTCCGTGTTTTGGCACGACGACTGATGATTTGCGTCGGGATCCGAGGATTCGCAGCAGCTGTGGCGATTCTGGATCCTCTTCTATATGGTGGTTCTTGCAACCCGGCCACAACACCACAACCTCTCAATCTGGAACCCCTCCATATATAATTAGAACGATATTTTTGTATCGCTATCTTATCACCATATTATTGTTATTATCATATATATATATATATATATATATATAGGTATACAGCATATTCTATATATACATACAAAAACATATATACGTACATATATATACATATATATATATATATATATATCCACACTTGCAGAGAATGTGCATATATACACATATAGAGATAGACATGTGTGTATATATATATATATATATGCAAATATATACATATGTATATATACATGACTATGTATGTATGTATAAGCACTCATACATTTACCCTGCAGTGTATTAATATACATGTCTGTGTTTCTACACACATGCACATGTTTGTCCTTTTTCCATTATAGAGGCACAATGTAAATACATGCACAGGCGTGCACACCGACTACAAACACGTACCTGTCCTTATGTTCGTCCCTCGAACCCAAAGCCTGAAAGGATTTGGAAATTAATCTTGTGTATTCAAGAGCTTCCGATACAGAGATCTAAGTCCAATAGTCGGCTGTACTTAGAACACCCCTGTCATGTGTTATGACCTTGTGGAAAGGAACTACAGTGTGTGCGACTTCGGTGAAAGGGATACTAATCCGACCATGTAAATGTCACACATCTGCATTGTTATACAACAATGTAGCAGATCGGTGGGAGCTACGTACCGTTTCCACATAGGGTTTCGGGTTTAGGGTTAGGCTATCGGGTTGTGTCCCATGCTGTCAGGAAGCTTTAAAGCTTTAGTGCAATATTAACCACACCAGCGGGACCACTTGCTACAGCCTGCTGCTCCTCCAACTCAAAAAAGCATCGCCAGCAGCTGGTGCCATCGGTGCTTGGTACTTGTAAGCCTCCAAGCCCTTATATACAATCGAATAGCCCATAAAACACAGACGTCCAACCCCCCCCCAAACGTCAGTCATAGTGGAATGCCGGGTTCAGTTCCTAGGCTTAATAGCAGCATCTACCGGAAAGGGGATCAGACTTTTCATTGCGGCCTATTCAATACTTGCGATCAAGAACAGTTGCTACCCTAGCTTCCATAATTTATCGGAGATAAACGACGATGGCCTTGTTCTTCCAGCAAGTACAAAGACTGCCTAGATATGCGACAACCGAAAACCTTGCACCGACAGCCTGTACGTGCTGCTGCTGGGAGAGCATCACTCGAGTCCCTGGGCGGGGCCACGGGTGCACGGGGATTCGCCATTAAAAATTTATGGTGTCCGAGGGTTTGCTACTAAGGGCTTAAGCTAGAGGTGGAGTCTTTGGGGTTTCACTATATGAAGGACAACGATGCTGTCTCAGGAGTTGAGATCGCCTGCGTATGGATTCAGCCGGGGCTGTTGACATGTTTCTCATCCCTGACCGATAAGTAATTCAGAGCTTCTATAGAGGCTAGCGAGTTCTGACTTTAGGGTCCAGCAGGTGCAACCCCACTAGACGATATACCTTCGGCCGGCGCACGAGTCTGATACCCCGACACATCTCCACCTATTATAACAGGTATGACTATATACGATCCGAACTACGATTGCTAGTGTTAAAGTTACCAGGCTGCTATACATGACTACCTTAGGGCGTGGGTCGATCTCACTCCAGCTTCGCATCAGATCATCCGAAGCTCTGCCAAGCCTAGAGCAGCCCCTGTTGCAATCGATTGAAGAAACCCCAGAGTGCTCACGACGTGATTCGGTTTTCAGAGGCTGCAGGGCTTATGGTTTCGGGTCGGGTTTTGGAGTCTTAATAAGCCAATATAAGAATTAGCTAGTGCTGCTTCGCAAGTGGAAAACCTTCAGTCGGAAATGAATGCACCCGGAGCACATCTGAGGCTTCTACGATCAGTGGCTACGGTTCTTGCAGAGGACCTCGGGGTGATGTTATGGGTTATAAGGACGGGCCAGTCAGAACAGGGCTAGGCTTCAAAGCACACAACATCCGATATAAAGACTTCTCTGCACACTCCTAGACTAGATCATCTCCATTCGTCCCCAGCATCATGTCAGCAGCCGAGCCGAGGCGATCCAAGCCTGAGCTTGAGGGGGGTTCATGGAAGGAGGTATGCTAAATCTAAGGACTTAGGGTTTAGGGCTTAGGGTTGTGATTCTGGTAAAGCACTTATCTGCAACGTTTTGTAGTCAAAGAACTGTAGCAGCGACTGCGACTGTGCGTATGAAGTCCATAGATGTAAAATCTGCATATATATAAACATATATATATATATATTACGATCCTGCTTGCACTCCTACAGAAGAAGTCTTTGTATGTAGTCACAACGACGTTGCGTGTAGGGTTTCGGGTTTGGGTTTAGGGTTTCAGGGTTCAGGGTTGGGGTTTAGAGGGCGGGCTGGGAGCCTTCCATCGCCGGGTCGTTTTCTGTCTGCTCCTCCTCCTCGCCTTCGCCATCGTTGTCGTCATCATCGCCCTCACCATCAGCATCGTCGCCCCTCTCGCCGTCGTGGTCCGAGGGTGCAGGCTGAGGCCTTAACTACATTCAATATGACAAAGCACACTCTCGACGAAGATCGTTCTTGCCCAAGACCAAAAATAAAAAAAAGCGGCTAAATCAAACCGATGCTCGCCTCAGGAAACCCCGGCAGCTTTAGCTTGTTGATGAACTTCCAGCTCAGATGCTTGCTCCAATCAACTCCGTTCTTGGACCCGTAGTCAAGCAACGATTGCTTGCAAACCCTGAAATCTATCTCGTCGGGGTTCATGTTCATGCCATCGTAAGCAAAGGCGAAGCTTTTGAGGAAGTTCATCCCCTGCTCCGCCGTGAAGCCACCTTCCTTCACTACCACTTGCATCTTTTGCTTGAAGAGCGAACACGGCCCAGTCCTGTCAGCTCGCACCTCGAACTTCAAGATTGGCATTTTGGTGCCCTGCGTACAGTATTTTATCCTGCAGCAGCCTAGATCAAAATCAGGCACTGGTTTCGGAGAGGCTTTGGGTTTGGGCTTCCGCTTCGGCTGCTGGGCTTTTCCGACCATAGGCAAAGCTTTTTGCCCGCCTTTCAAGTCATCGGGCACCAAATGCGGCACCCGCCACTCCAGGCCAGACTCAAAGGACACATAGACCTCGTCGTCTGTCACAAAGGGCTCGGAACTGAACTCGCCATCGCACACGGCCTTCTCGTGCAGGTTGTTCCACGTCACATCAGCCTGCTTCTTGTCGTCGGTCTCCTCGGGTTTCGCCTGCTTCTTGTCGTCGGTCTCCTCGGGTTTCGCCTGCTTCTTGTCGTCGGTCTCCTCGGGTTTCGTCTGCTTCTTGTCGTCGGTCTCCTTGGGTTTCGCCTGCTTTTTGTCGTCGGCCTTCTTTTTCTTTTTCTTCTCCCTTTCGTCGTCTTGCTTCGTCGTCTGAGGCCGTCTCTTGCCCTTCTTCTTGTCGTCGGCCTCCTTGGGTTTCGTCTGCTTCTCCTCGTCGGCCTCCTCGGGTTTCGGCTGGTTCTCCTCGTCGGCCTTGTTGGGTTTGGCCTGCTTCTCCACGTCGGTCTCCTTGGGTTTCGTCTGCTTCTTGTCGTCGGTCTCCTTGGGTTTCGGCTGCTTCTTGTCGTCGGTCTCCTTGGGTTTCGGCTGCGTGTGGTCGTCGGCCGTTTTGGCTTTCTTCACTGCTGGCACCTCGGCCTTCGCCTTCTTGCCATCGTCCTCCTTCTCGTCGTCCTTCGGGTTTGGGGTCTGGAGTTTATTATGACACTTATGGTTTATGGTGTAGGCCTGGGCTTTAGGATGCATCGCCCACTTGGGGCAATCTTGTTCAGGAGCACTATTGTCCTGGGCCACGAAGACTGCAGAACGTCTCGGCGGGCCAGGAGTTGGCGATGCGTAGCCTGGGCATGGCTGATCAAGGGTTTATCAAAGGTCTATATATACTTAGGGGTTGAGGTTCAGGGTGCAAGGGTTTAAGTGAACGGCTTTTTTAAGTCTTAGATAGGGGTTGCATCGAAGGTTCAAGTTTCAGCGGGTCGGGTCCAGGCTCTAGAATCGGAGTTTAGTGGGTTGGGGTTGAAGTTTCAAAGTCCAGGTGTACAAAGCGGGTTGGATCGAGGTTATAGAATATGCATATATAATAATTTAATGGGTTGGCTCGAAGGCTATAGCTACATGAGCTGGATCGAAGGCTCCAGTTTTATGGTGGGTGGGATCTGATTTAGATCAGGGGTTCAATTCAAATAGGCTGGCTCCCGCCTGGTAGGATTGTTCGCAAATAAGTACAATTAGAGCTATCGATATAGCTGATGTACAGAGTGGGATTGATCGGTGTTTTGGGGAGACACTTGTGCTTATTGTAGCTTTTCATGGCAATTGGTTGCGGCGAGGGTATGGAAAGAGAGAGAGAGAGAGAGAGAGAGAGAGAGATATAGAAAGAGAGAGAGGAGAGAGAGTGAGTGAGAGTGAGAAGGAGATGTAGAAAGAGAGAGCGAGAGACGGAGAAAGAGAGAAAGAGAGAGAGAGAGAGAGAGAGAGAGAGAGAGAGAGAGAGAGAGAGAGAGAGAGAGAGAGAGAGAGAGAGAGAGAGAGAGAGAGAGAGAGAGAGAGAGAGAGAGAGAGAAAGAGAGAGAGAGAGAAAGAGACAGAGAAAGGTTTGAAACATTGCACACCCCGGAGGCTTTTGTTGCTGCATCCTAAGCAAACCACAATCACTATATAGAGACAACACTAGGCCCAAACCTGTGTGGAACCCAAGCAGACCCGACACCAGGCACGATGGATAATGTATGCAGCAACACCGAATCGTAATCATCCCAAATCCCCGAGGCGAAACCCTAAATCCCTGAACCCCTCACCCCTGAACCCTAGTCCCTGGACCCCTAAAGGATATTCCGGCTAGCAATATGCAGCCCAAGCCAGCGAAACTCAGGATCGGATCTTTATGAAAGCTGCGACCCAGGCTTTGCTGGCATCCAAGCACATCGAGCGACTTGCTTATGCAATAGTGTAAGCGGGTGCTCCAGCAGATCGAGCGACATATACGTGTGATAATGTAAAACACGGTTCGCCAGACAGCTTTAATCAGAAACCACGGCGTACACAAAAAAGGGTCCATCTATCTTGGAGATAGACTCTCCTCCCAGGACCACATTCAAACAAGCTTCGTGAGAAATAAACGTAGCAATGAGTGCCGCCTCGAGCATTGCAGCAGCCTCCCCATGCTCGAAAATCGCAAGCAGCTTCATGCTCCGGAATACTCTCGGCTTCTCGAGCAGGTAAGAATGGGCAGCACGTCTCCAGCGATGGGAGGGGTCTGCTGTCTGTCCGATCTTAAACTTCACGGAAGTAGAAATGAGATGGCGGATCCGGGTGTAGGCGTGTTCCAGAATTTTGGATGCCAGCTGACATGTCAAAAAATCCACATGTATCTGAGGATCTGCAAGCACGGTTCGCATAACCGACTGAAGTCGTGGCAGGTTCTGCAGTGCGACAGGAATGAGTGTCTTGTAGTAGTTTGCACTGACCAGCTGCTCGCGACGACCATCCACCATGACAAAGGCACCCGAAAAGCTCACAGGATTTTCGCATCGGCTCGCTGCCGTTGCAACACATGGTCCCCCTTTACAAAACTCTGAATGCTTGGCCAGCAGGCTTGACAAAGAAGGCTCATCCCATCCATCATGTGACCCAGACCCATCACTCGTCAACAGCTGCTGCAAGGTATCGCCTTCTACATCCATGGAGCTTTCTGCCGCTTCTGCCGCCCTGGAACTGCTACCGGCATGACTACTCAGCAGCTCGACAAGCCACTCGTCATCGGACTCAGGTCTAACTTCACTCTTCGACATGAGGGCCTAAAGTCATTCATGAGCCTAGGGGTACTTCTCAGCAGGGGTACTTCTCAGCCACTACCGAAGATTTAAGAAGATTGTTGAATTATTTGGAAGATTGTTGAAGAAAAACGAATTATTTGGACGATTGTTGAAGAAAAATGAATTATTTGGAAGATTATTGAAGAAAAACAAAATATTTGGAAGATTGTGGCAGAAATGCGAATTATGTGAGGGTTTCAATTTGAGGCTTAAACACGGTTTAGGGTTTAGGGCTCATGGTTTAGGCTTCCTGGCACGGCTCGAGGACCTGCCAAAATGGAACACCGAGGTTTAGGGTTTAAAGATTCTAGGTCTAGTATTGGTCAGCTTCGGGGCCCACAAAGTTTAGGGTGCCAACTTCCGAGGTTCAGGGTTTAAAGGTTTAGGGTTTAGGGCTTACGGTTGTTCGGGTCTAAAGGTGTAGGGTTTAGGGTTTAGGGTTTGGGTGAAAACACCCACTTTGTGGGAGTACTAGAGTTGAAAACAAATATGAGTAATCGAGTAGTGAAGTAATAGAATAATAGAATAATAGAGTAGTAGACTAATAGAGTACTAGAGTATTTGAGTAATAGAGTAATAGAGTAATAGAGTAATAGAATAATAGAGTAATGGAGTAACAGAGTAATAGACTATGTGTGTGGAAAATTGAAACCCTTTGCTATGTTCGCGAAGCGAGGAAATTTTTTTGTTTTCTATGCAAAATTCATGCAAATGCTTTTGGTGCGAGTGTCTGGAGCAAGCCTTGTAGTGTGTGTGGAGTACTAGAGTTGAAAACAAATATGGATGTTCGCGAAGCGAGGAAATTTTTTTGTTTTTTATGCAAAATTCATGCAAATGCTTTTGGTGCGAGTGTCTGGAGCAAGACTTGTAGTGTGTGTGGAGTACAAGAGTTGAAAACAAATATGGATGTTCGCGAAGCGAGGAAATTTTTTGTTTTTTTATGCAAAATTCATGCAAATGCTTTTGCTGCGAGTGTCTGGGGCAAGCCTTGTAGTGTGTGTGGAGTACTAGAGTCGAAACCAAATATGGATGTTCGCGAAGCGAAGAAATTTTTTGTTTTTTTATGCAAAATTCATGCAAATGCTTTTGGTGTGAGTGTCTGGAGCAAGCCTTGTAATTAGTGTGTGTGGAGTACTAGAGTTGAAAACAAAGATGGATGTTCGCGAAGCGAAGAAATTTTTTGTTTTTTATGCAAAATTCATGCAAATGCTTTTGGCGCGAGTGTCTGGAGCAAGCCTTGTAGTGTGTGTGGAGTACAAGAGTTGAAAACAAATATGGATGTTCGCGAAGCGAGGAAATTTTTTGTTTCTATATGCAAAATTCATGCAAATGCTTTTGGTGTGAGTGTCTGGAGCAAGCCTTGTAATTAGTGTGTGTGGAGTACTAGAGTTGAAAACAAATATGGATGTTCGCGAAGCGAAGAAATTTTTTGTTTTTTATGCAAAATTCATGCAAATGCTTTTGGCGCGAGTGTCTGGAGCAAGCCTTGTCGTGTGTGTGGAGTACTAGAGTTGGAAACAAATATGGATGTTCGCGAAGCGAGGAATTTTTTTTGTTTTTTTATGCAAAATTCATGCAAATGCTTTTGGCGCGAGTGTCTGGAGCAAGCCTTGTAATTAGTGTGTGTGTGGAGTACTAGAGTTGAAAACAAATATGGATGTTCGCGAAGCGAGGAAATTTTTTGTTTTTTTATGCAAAATTCATGCAAATGCTTTTGGTGCGAGTGTCTGGAGCAAGCCTTGTAGTGTGTGTGGAGTACTAGAGTTGAAAACAAAATATGGATGTTCGCGAAGTGAAGAAATTTTTTTTGTTTTTTTATGCAAAATTCATGCAAATGCTTTTGATGCGAGTGTCTGGCGTCTGGAGCAAGCCTTGTAGTGTGTGTGGAGTACTAGAGTTGAAAACAAATATGGATGTTCGCGAAGCGAGGAAATTTTTTTGTTTTTTTTATGCAAAATTCATGCAAATGCTTTTGGTGCGAGTGTCTGGAGCAAGCCTTGTAGTCTTCCCTGTTCTACGTAAGACTGCTGCATGCTTTTAAATTCTTCTAAATTCTTCTAGATTCGTCGGAATTCTGCAATTTTCTTCCAAAATCTTCCGGTTTCTGCCTGTCTGTCAACACCATTTTTTTTCATTTGTACACACACACGGTATCCCCCATTTCTTCGTTTTTCTACCTTTTCTACCTTTTTCTACCTTTTTCTACCTTTTTCTATTTTTTTCTACCTTTTTCTACCTTTTTCTACCTTTTTCTACCTTTTATTCGGTTGAGGTTTGTTTTTTTTTCTCTTTTTTTCCTCTTTCTACCGGCATGCTTGGGGGAAGGAAATGCTGCCCGATTTTCAGCCCCTCCCCCCCCCCTCCCCTAGGCCATACGTTTAGGGCCTAGGGTTTAGGGCCTTAGGTTTAGGGCCTAGGGTTTGGGGCCTTAGGTTTGGGGCCTAGGGTTTGGGGCCTTAAGTTGAGTGCCTAGGGTTTAGGGCCTTGCGTTTAGGGCCTTGGGTTTAGGGCCTAGGGTTTAGGGCCTAGGGTTTGGGGCCTTAGGTTTAGGGCCTAGGGTTTAGGGCCTTAGGTTTAGGGCCTAGGGTTTGGGGCCTTAGGTTTATGGCCTAGGGTTTGGGGCCTTAGGTTTAGTGCCTAGGGTTTAGGGCCTTACGTTTAGGGCCTAGGGTTTAGGGCCTAGGGTTTAGGGCCTAGGGTTTAGGGCCTAGGGTTTGGGGCCTTAGGTTGACGGCCTAGGGTTTGGGGCCTTAGGTTTAGGGCCTAGGGTTTAGGGCCTTACGTTTAGGGCCTAGGGTTTAGGGCCTTAGGTTTTAGGGCCTAGGGTTTAGATGTATGTATATACGTGTGTATGTATGTATGTTTGTATGTATGCATGTATATGTATGTATGTATGTATGTATGTATGTATGTACATGTGTGTGTGGGTGTGCAGGTGTGTATGTTCGTATGTGTAGGTGTTTATGTGTGTGTGTCTGTGTGTGTATGCATGTGCTTATGTATGTATGCATGTATGGATGTATCTGCCTATGTATGTATGTATATATGTATGTATGTATGTACTCATTTACACACACATACAAATGTATACATAATTGCGCATACGTATATACATGCATGTGTATATATTTATAGGTGCGTATATATAGATATATATGAAGATACACAAACATGTCTGTATATATATATATATGTATACATGTCTGTATCTATATATATTGTTTGTGTATGTATATACATACACATGTATGTATATACGTGTGTGTCTACCTATATTTAATATCTGTAAACAGATATAAATATATGAAGAATCGCCATTAAGGTCATCACCAACCTCGCCATAATTATTAAAACCATCATCATGCTCGTCATAATTATCACACCACCATCATCGTCTTCATAGCCCTAGTCTTCTTCGTAGAACCCAGGTTTTATAATCATCAACATCATCATCACATATCATCATACACATCGCCAACGACATATTCACAATCGTCATCATAATCAGCATCGGCCATCATCAGTCATCGTTGTTATCATCCACATAGAACGTCGTTATAGTCATCATCATAAACATCCAATCATCAATGAGATAGAAGCCAAGAAGCTGGAATAATTACCAGTACTTTTGCTCAGGGCTCAAGGCTCCTTGTTTTTACTGTTACACATCCCGGCGTTCACGGCTTTGAAACATGCGACAATAATCAACAACATGTTGTTACGAAACAGAGTCTACTTAATGTATTTCCGAACAGGGTGAGAATTGAAATTTCCTATAGGATTTGTGCTTGGAATCCAAGAAAACAAGGGTGCGAATTGTAATTTCCCATAGGATATGTATTTCCGAACAGGGTGCGAATTGTAATTTCCCATAGGATTTGTGCTTGGAATCCAAAAAAAACAAGGGTGCGAATGCTTGGAATCCAAGAAAAACAAGGGTGCGAATTGACATTTCCCATAGGATTTGTGCTTGGAATCCAAGAAAAACAAGGGTGCGAATTGTAATTTCCCATAGGATATGTATTTCCGAACAGGGTGCGAATTGTAATTTCCCATAGGATTTGTGCTTGGAATCCAAGAAAAACAAGGGTGCGAATTGTAATTTCCCATAGGATATGTATTTCCGAACAGGGTGCGAATTGTAATTTTCCATAGGATTTGTGCTTAGAATCCAAGAAAAACAAGGGTGCGAATTGTAATTTCCCATAGGATATGTATTTCCGAACAGGGTGCGAATTGTAATTTCCCATAGGATTTGTGCTTGGAATCCAAGAAAAACAAGGCTGCGAATTGTAATTTCCCATAGGATATGTATTTCCGAACAGGGTGCGAATTGCAATTTCCCATAGGATTTGTGCTTGGAATCCAAGAAAAACAAGGGTGCGAATTGTAATTTCCCATAGGATGCTGTACCTGGATGCCAAGAAACAGAGTCTACTTAATGTATTTCCGAACAGGGTGCGAATTGTAATTTCCCATAGGATTTGTGCTTGGAATCCAAGAAAAACAAGGGTGCGAATTGTAATTTCCCATAGGAATATTTCGAAAAGGGTGCGAATTGCAATTTCCCATAGGATTGTTGCTTGGAATCCAAGGAAAAACAAGGGTGCGAATTGTAAGTTCAACAGTAGGATGCTGTAACCTGGTGCAAGAAACAGAGTCTTACTTAATGTATTCCGAACAGGGTGCGAATTGTAAATATTGCCCATAGGAGTTTGTGCTGGAATCCAGGAAACAACGAGGGTGAGAATTGTAAGTTCCCATGAGATGCTGAACTGGATGCCAGAAACAGAGTCTACTTAATGATTTCGAAAAGGGTGGAATTTGTAATTTCCCATAGGATTTGTGCTTGGATCAAGAGAAACACGGGTGCGAATTGTAATTTCCCATAGGATATGTATTTCCGAACAGGGTGCGAATTGTAATTTCCCATAGGATTTGTGCTTGGAATCCAAGAAAAACAAGGGTGCGCATTG